GCCTGAGACTGCGGTGGGGGGCAGCACAGTCCCCTGCTCAGATATGGTGGGGCTTGCCTGGTGCCAGATAGCATCGGATCAGTATCTGGCGGCCAGCGGGCCCCCCGTCTCTGCGCCAGGAGTGTCAGATCATCCATTCATCCGACACTCCCGGCACAGAGATGGGGGGGCCCACCGGCCGCCAGGTACCGATCTGTACATCCAACATTCGCGCCGCTAAAATGGGGGGGCCACCGTATTTGAACCCGGCGCAGATATTATGGGGCCCGCTGACCGCCATGTACTGGGGGAGCCTGGGAACAAAGCAGGCACATCATGGGGCAGCCATGGGGCCTCGGACAGCTGTGAGGACCCAGCAAGCAGCACACAGACACAAGTTTTTTTTCTGCAGCCTGAGTCCTCTACTAGGAAACAGCTGAAGACAGAAGACCAGCCAGGAGAGGGAAGGGTAAATAATTCATTCAAATTATTATTATTATTATGTGTAGCCTAACTGATGGTGTATAAAGTACTGCTGGTATTTGTAGTGATCTATAGAAGGTGCCATTCTGCATTGTAGCAATGCAGAATGGTATTCTCTATAGAGGACTACAAATCTCAGCAGTACATTAAACAACAATGCTATTGTTGTATAAAGTATTGCTGGTATGTGTAGTCCTCTATAGCCTGTGCCATTCTGCATTGCTGTAAATATGGATGCACCCATGGCCAAAACTAAGGGGGGCAGTTATGTGACATGTTTTTTGTAGTCCTCTATGACTGATGGAATTATTCTGCATTTCTGTAGAGAGTAATCCTGGAAGTTGTAGACCCCTATAGCCGTTACCATACTGTGTTTCTGTAGAGAGTATTGCTGGAAGTTGTAGTCCCCTATAACCGTTACCATTCTGTGTTTCTGTAGAGAGTATTGCTGGGAGTTTTAGTTCTCTATAGCCATTACCATTCTGCGTTTCTGTAGAGAGTATTGCTGGAAATTGTAGTCCCCTATAGCCGTTACCTTTCTACATTTCTGTAGAGAGTATTGCTGGAAGCTGTAGTTCTCTATAGCCGTTACTATTCTGCTTTTCTGTAGAGAGTACTGCTGGGAGTTGTAGTTCTCTATCTCCGTTACCATTCTGCATTTCTATATAAAGTATTGCTGGGAGTTGTAGTCCTCTATACAGAAATGCAAAATGGTAATGGCTATAGGTTGGCAGGGTGGGCATTGTAAGAGCCGTGGGGGGTTTGGGGCCCCCCAAAAAATCTTGCACCAGGGCCCTTTGTTCCATAGGTCCACCACTAGTGTCAACAACAGGCTGGGCTTACAAGAAATAAGTAGAATGATGCTGGATGGCAAGGAACAGTGGCACTGGATGGGGGAGGAAGCTGGGGACAGCACTGGAACGTAAAGAAGGTAAGTACAGTTTAGCACATTTGTTTTTAATACATGATTGGGAAAAAGTCTGAAAATATTAAAGACAATTGGAGGTCTACTTTAAAGTGGGTGCTTTACTGTATGGAATAAAGTGCAAGCAAGCTAATATTGAGTTTCTCAGTCCTGGAAGGCTCACCCTGAAAACTGTCAGTGCCTGGCTTCTGCAGTTGAACTCAAATGTATGTATAAAGAAGTCTAAAGTCATATATGGAAGTGACGGTGAATATGAGAACTATGGAACAATTGCTCTCTTTGGAATCTATTTTTAAGAGGGTTTTTTGTATCTTGTGTACATACCTATGTTTCAAAGCCTATTAAAAAGTGTATTGAAACCCAAAAGCCATAACATATTATATTGCAGCTTATCAAACATTAAATGTTTGTGGATGCATTCGTTTTTTTAGGCTTCTTTCCTTTTTCACCTGGTAATCCAGCCAGTAGGTCTATTATTTTTAACAGACCAAATTGTTCAGCAAAAGTGGTAGATAGAGGGTTGAGACAAACCATTTAACACTGACAAGGGTGCTTACAATTGTTAGCTTTTATTAATTTATTAAAAACCTTAAAAATCCAAATTTAAAAAAAGGTGTTGCTGTAAATATATAAAAGCATTAGCTGGAGTTTGGATTTAATTTGTTAGTCAAGTCCATATACATGTGCTAGTGCACCTAAGACTGCCCTCTCTTCAGGTTGGCTATATGGGTGGCTCTGCTGCTGCCCCATAGAGTGGAGCAACCCTAAGACAGGAAGTGTGTTTCCGGCTGAATTACCAGATGCAAATAAAGAAAAAGAAGCCTAAAAAAGGAAAACGAATGCAGCCACCACATTTAAGAATTGATGAGCTGCAATATTTTAAATTATTGTCTATGGGTTTAGTTACACTTTAAAGAAAGCTATTACTTTCGCCACCAATTCAAGTAATTTTCCTTAGTCTTTATACTTGCTCCAGCCCATATTATATAGCCTCCATCAGCTTTTTAAATGTTAACTTCTGCTATACTCATTGTAATAGTTTATATTTAGCTTCCACTTCATTATGTGTGCAGAAACAAATTGGATATTTGCATCTGTTTGGGTCTGTCAGCTGGTAAATCAGTTTACAGATGGGAAGTATTTCATGAAGGAAAATAATAAGGCAAATATATGTGCCTTTCTCACCGTTATAAATTAAGTATCCGTCAAATATCCCATGTGGATTTCTATGGAGATAAACATTTTATCAGCGCTGTTTTAAGAAAAATGAGGCCACACTCGAGAACATCTGCCTTACTGCAAATGAATTAAGATTAAGAAGTGGGTGTTCTTGCCACAAGTGAATCTGGACAGTTGAGTAAGTTTGAGCTAACAGCTACTTTTTAGCAAGGTCATCCGTCTGCTCTGCTGAGTTCATGATATAAAAAATAGCCTAATTGGGGTAAAAATAATAGCAACAGACATATGCCTATGTTTACAAGCTGAGCAAAACTGACAAGTATATGTATTTTGCCTGTGCTTTATGGCTGCCTGCTCTGCGTAATGAAACACTTCAGTTAATTACCTTACTGCTTTGCCATTAAGGCAAATGTGCCTACAATTTCTCAGGCATTAAGCTGTAAATAATTATTTGAGATGAACGGCAAAGCATTTAAAATATTGTAAAAATGGATGTTTGAGTCATTTGCTAACTGAAACCCTTAAACACAGCTGCTTGCACGTGCGCGTCTAGTTGAACAAACAAGTGTTTAATTTAAACCTATGACCTTTAAAAGCCAGTGCTTATTAAACCAACAGTTTATTCCTTCATCATCCTACATGAAGCAGAACAAATGAGTAAGCAAATCATCCTTAAATAAAATAACACCAAAAATGTGGCTCTGTTCTAGCCTTTAGAACGCTGGCTATTATTTTTAGCCTTGCAAGTGTAATCGCCACAGATTGTGTTTTTTCCTTAATCATCATTGTAACGTTAAATACTTTCGTTTAAAATGCATTCGACTAAAATATGAGTTATTTTAAAGAGCAACATATGTTTCATTAAGCCTTTTTGACTGATTAGACCAAAGTGGCCTGAAGTCAGCACTTTGCTTCGGCAGTTACAGACCAAGAAGGATAGTATTCTTGTGGGCTTTGTTCTGGCATATAAGTGTCCTTTGTAATCACTTTTTTCATTTCTTCTTGTCAGCAATCTTAGAATTTGTAGTAGACGTTTACAGGGCAAGGCAAATCTGAAATCACACTGCTAGATACTTTAGTTGGGTGAAATGTGCAGTTTCAAAATTAGGCTGGTTAAAAAAAAAAAAAGTTTTCCAGCACTTTAAATCCTTCAAATGATTACTTCAATTAATGAGCATAACATTGCAATCAACCTCTGATGTGTTTCTGCCTAAGTGACCCTAGCCAAAAAAAAACATTAAAATATAGGATAAAAAAGCAGTTAGATGTGCCCTGCAGTACTTATTTTCTGTCATTAGATGTCCTTAGTCTTCTTGGTAGAATCAAGGCTAGTGTCATTCAACACACTTCCTCTGAACCCAGACAGTCATGGACCTGCTCCCAGTTTGTGATTGGACTGTAGAGGAGAAGCAGCACAGTGATCAGCAAATTGATGGCAGCAACATTTCTCAAAAAGGCTAAAAAATACTAAATATTTCCATGCAATATTTTAGTCTTATCTGAGTAAATATATGAAACCACACTTATGATTATTATAATTATTACTATTATTATGTGTTGGTAAGGGGGTGTGACCTCTGCATAATCTCCCCGCCCACATCTGGCTGGCATCCCAACCAGCTTCTGATATCACTGGTTGCCAGGTGCTGGACAGAGCATCCCAGGTTACTAAGAGCTGGGTGTGGAGATGGGTATGACCCTTGCACATCTGGTTGCCAGGAGATGGTCAGGAAGCTGACCAGAGCACGCCAAATTACGAGGAGCTGGGTCAGGAGATCTCCAGGCCTGACTCTTAGCAACCTAGGATGCTCTGACTGGAATGGTGATGGCAGGCACAATGCAAACATTGTGCAGGAGAGTGACCGTGCTGCTCTGCCTGCTGCCCCCGCCCCCCCCTCTCCCCACATGACCCAAATAGATGATACCTGAGGCAACAGCCCTGTCTGCACACAATAGAGAAGGAAAGAAACCTACACAAAACACTGTACATTCACTTTAGTTTTACTAAGGTACTCAGGTTGATGTTAGTTTAGACAGCTTATTGTTAACAGACCAATAGGGAAATCCATCACTGGATATTGCTGTCCCATTAAAAGTGTTTTCTATCCTTTTCATAGAAAGTGGAAACATTATTAGCCCTTGAGGGGGATGACTAATTAGGGAGGGTAAGGTTCAGTTTTGCTAGCACTAGGTTTTTCTTTTCTTTAACCTCAGCAGACTCATCCTGTCTAATAAAAAATAATTCAACCCAAAAATAAATTTAATACGCGCCCTGATTTTGCCCTTGAGATTTATTGTTACCTTTATTCATGCCTACAGACAGATGTCAGGAGGAGGCTGCAAACCTTCTGTTTTTAAAAGAGCTGTATTTGTTACCATGGTTACATGTTACATTATTCAATGACAAATTAACATTTTCCCCTTTCTGGCACAGGAGGAAGGATGATGGTATCTTATCCTATAAGGATCACCTGCCAGTCACACAAGTTATTGTTGGTGATACATATCGTTCTTCATCAGAGGCAAAGCTGACTGTCGATCCCCTGCGATGTTATGGAGACAGTAAGTGTCTCAAATTACCTTTTACTCTATATTATACAGCAATGGGAGATATATGTGAAAACTGATGCCTAGCTACATAGTCCATATCTTAAAAGCTTCACTTTGAGCACAAAACCCTATATTTTAATATATTAGTCAATAGCCACAAAGGATATAAATCCACTTTTTGTGCAAAATTACAGGAGGGACGGATAAAAGACCAGTCACCCTAACCAGGGAGAGAGAGCGGGAGTGACTGGTCTGTGTTACAGAAAGATCCTGTAGAGAGACAAAGTTCCTGAGTGGCTATGCTCACTACTGCATTGTATCTATGGAGGCAGCCATGGTTGCCGCCCAGGATGGTGTTAAAACATGACTGCCTTTGTTCATTTCCATTAGTAGTTTAAAGTAGAAAGTTAAGATTGTTTTGTTTCTGGTCAGCCAACAGGAAGTGAAATGGAAACTGTATTTTACTTCCTGTTGCCTGTTCTGTTATGAACAGTTAGGGCTTCATTTTCAAAACCTCCACCTAGCGTATAGCCAGGCATCAGAATTTTGCATGGCACTAGTGCCCCTAAATGTCACTGATGAGGCTTAGGAAGTTCCTATACTCATCAGCACCAACTATAAGTGCTAGTGTAATGCGAACAGCATCTGTCCAGCTATAAACCGGGTGCAAGTTTTATAAATCAACACCTTATTTTCTGTACTTGCTGAAAATGTTCTAATGAAAACTAATGCAGCCACTACATCTAAGGACTGGTAAGCTGCAATATATTGCATTTGTGTTCTTGGGTTTAGTTATCCTTTAACATGCCTTTCATATACATAGAAATACTTGCGTTGGGTATTATCGTTTTTTGAGGTTTCGCGCGCGCACGCAATTTTAAGGCTTGACATGTTTAGTGTCTTTTTACCCGACGTGACCCCATCTTTTATATTTTACCAAAAAATTGGGTAATAATAAATGTTTTATCATTTAATATAGGGGAAACTGTTTTTTTTTTTAAATTTCGGTAATTTTTCCTTAATATAGTAAAAAAATAAAACCCCCAGTGGTGAATAAATACCACCAAAAGAAAGCTCTATCTGTCCCCAAAAAAGGGTATAAAATTCATTTCAGTACAGCGCTGCATGACGGAATAAATGTCAGTTAAAGTACCGCAGCGCTGAATACTGAAAAATGGCCTGGATGGGAAGGGGGTTTAACACCACGGATGTCAACTGGTTAAAGACTTTTGCAAGATAATTTTTTAAAAAGTGAACAAAAAAAGGTTTTGACAATGCTCCCTTTAATCATTCCATTTGTTCTGCAATTTCACATCTTAACAGAGTTGCTAATGTGAAATGTGTTCCTATGCCTCTTTGTGGTAATGAGAAAATTCTGCCAATCATACTTGCTTTGTGATAAAAGATAATAGTAAAAGCATAAAAGGAATACTTCACAGATGGGACACAGCTACCAATGTCATCAACACTGCTATTTATTTCCATATTAGCCAGGTTTATTATTGTGCAGACTGCAATCAATCCTGGGGATGTTAGTGAATATTAGTGTTTGATTTGATATCCTTGCTCATCAAGCAGTGTAATTAATAGGCCTGTTTCTTTGTTAGATTAGAATTTTCAGATGGATGTAATCATTTAGCCTTTCTCTTTTTTTTCTTGTTTTTTTGTGTGTTAAGAATGCTAGAAAAATAATTGCTCCCACAGCACGAAATGTGAATCTGTAATTAATACTCACTGATGAACTGATCTGTTTGAATGTAGCAATCTTGTATTAGCTGCAAGGCTGAATTAGAGTTGGCCAAAAGAGCACATTATTAAAGGCCAACTTCCAGGCAAGAAACAATAACTTATAAACAATAAAAGAAGAGTTACATTTCTGTTGAGTTTTAATATCTGTCTGTGTCCCACTGGGGAGATTTTCCCTCACTTCCCTGTGACATCCGCACAAGAAAAAAAGGATGCCTTCGTCTCCGGGACAGGAAGGTACAGACAGCAATAAAAAATATTGTTTAAAGTTCTAACCTTTCCCCACTCTGTCCAAAACTCTATTAAAAGTTTGGATGGAGTTGGGTTTTAAAGTGTGTATCAGTGCAAAACTTTTTTCTTAGCTTTGGAAAACGTGGAGTAGGGTTAGAACCTGTTTTTTTATTGGTGTCTGTATCACAGTTGGGAAGAGTGACCCCTCTATTTGTCCAGGTGACCAATGTTATCAAGACAAAAATTGAGGGGTAAATCAAAATTTTACAGTTGTTATAAGTGCAAATGGTGGGGGGAAATCTTCCAATGCATACAAATGTTCCGAAGACAATTGTCTAAGAGTTGAATTCCCCTCACTGTGGGGAGATTGTAGGGTCCATCTCCTGGAACATGTGGCAGTGCACATCATCTGGGGGAGAATAAATGTTGTTCCTCCAAGATTGATGGAAATTCTACGATTGTAAATAACAGGCCATTTTGTTCAGTGGCAGCCGCAAGCTGAAAATAAGAAAAAGTAAAAGCAACAAGTTCAACAATAGCAAGTGGAATCACAGTTTTAGCATTAGAACATTAATAAATGTAGTATAACAATTTACTTCCAAAATCGAGCTAACTTGTTCGTTGTTGAGTTCACAAGTCTTTATTGAGACCCTGGACATTTGTACAGTAATAGATTCCCTTTCACAGCAACAAAGCAGCAGCCAATGTGTTGTCTCTTTAAGGTGCTATACACTAAATAACAGGTGTGCATGTGGTCCCTTTAAAATGATTTACCTTGCGGGCCAGTACATGCCACAAAGACAGCATTCCAGAGCATTTGGCCTCTGGAACGCACTGGAACGCAAGTCGGCTGGCTCCCAACGCTCAGAGGTAGGAGGGGGGGTGGCGGTGCATTGAAGTCAGTGGCACTGCAGCCACGCCCCCCGCCCGCAGTGCCATCGCTCAGACCCGAACACGTGGCACATTAGTGCCTGCGTCCCGGTCCAGTGTGATCTGCAAAAATAGTACATGCAGCATTTTCAAAGATCGCACTGGACCAGAATGCAGGCACTAATGTGCCACGTGTTCGGGTCTGAGCGATGGCACTGCGGGCGGGGGGCGGGGCTGCAGTGCCATTGACTTCAATGCACCGCCACACCCCCTCCCACTGGGAGCCGTCCGGCTTGAATTCCAGTGCATTTCAGAGGCTGAATACTCTGGAACGCAGTCTTTGTGGTGTGACCCAGCCCTGAAGGAAGATCTCTTCTCAATAAGTTCACTTTACCCAGCAGATACTACTGTAAAGCTATTGTCTATATTTATTGTCTGTAGTTAGCCTTAAAGTGTTTGCTAGAGTATGCAATGCAGCATTTCACACTAGATCCTGATGAAATCAACAGATAGCTGATTATATGGCAGTACTGTGTTGCAGCAAATAACGGAATTCTAGAAACTGGAGACATGGTCACTGCAGCACATGGAACTTGCTTGTGATAACCATGCAGTACTTACAATCCAGCAGTTAGCTATCCTCAGAAAGAAGAACGGGTGGAATTTGCTCCAGCTTTCCCATGCTGTCCTCTAGGCAATAAGCAAACAGGAATCTGACTAGAATCACCCTGTAGGATGCCTCCCTGAATTCTCACTCTACTGCCTTCTTCCATAAAGTTCTGTCACCAGTCCCGATCCTCCCACACTGTATTGCAGAACAATCCTCCCTTTGATGTCATACCATTTGCAAGCTGGCACATGGGTCTCTCTTTTCTGTAGCTATCCCATAGTGGTAAATTGCAGTGACAATAATGGGATAGCCTGAAATCAATGAAGCTCTATTACTGGCAAGCTGCTTAGGAATAGATCAACCATTAGTGGCAGAGATATGGTCAGTGTGAAATGATAAACAATTCTGCCACATGGCAGGTGAATATGTCTGCTTTGCAGTAAAACAATTTTGCAGTACATGTACACAATAGGTAGCATAACAAAAGGCTCTGAGTTGGCTACGTAATTTAAAAAAAATGGCAAACTCTGAGCCTATCAACCACGTCCAATGCAACTTGAAAGTTGTAGTTGCAGGTTTGTAATATACTGCCTGGCCCAAAAAAATTCACATGCTCTAATATTTTGTTGGACTTTGATTACGGTACGCATTCGCCATGGCATCGTTTCAGTAAGCTAAGGCAATGTCACTACATATATTTCCATCCAGAGCTGTATTCATTTTTCACCAAGATTATGTAGTGATGATGGGAGTGTCAGACCACTGTGTAAAGTCTTTGACTGCACATCCTGAAGATTTTCAATGGGATTAAGGTCATGCGATGGCCAATCCATGTGTGAAAATAATATCTCATGATCCCTTAACGACTGTTTCACAATTTGAGCCCAATGAATGTTGCCATTGTTATCCTGGAATATGCCCATGCCATCAGGGTTATTCAGTATATTCAGGTAGGCAGCCAACAAGATTTTTTGGGGACATAACGTTGCTGAACCTAGACCTGCCCAACTGAAGCAACCCCAGATCATAACACTGCCCAAATTCCAGGTGGTGATGTTTTTTGGCCAGGCAGTGTATATTCACAGTTTCTTTTTCTTACTCCAGATCTCCAACTTACCCTGTTGCCCACTCTGCTACTACTATGTAGAAATCACTTGATGTAGGGGGCCTCACGTAGACATGCTAATGGGATTTGGAACCTTGATGAGCCAAAATCACCTCTGCAGCCCATGAGAGCTGATACCATTTATCATTCATCAAATACTGACTGATAGAAAACAATGTAGCAAATGCAAAGCGCCATGATGTTTATGTATATGTTTTTTTTTACAAAAATTGTATTTTCTGTTTAATGCAGCCTTGCAAAAGTAATACTTTGACTTTATTGTCTGATAAAAAGATGAACTTGAAAGAAGTGCGACATTAGCTGCATTCTCAGAATACATTGTTTTAAGTTATTCAAGAAACCATGTTCGAAGAGGTCTCTGAAAAAGATCAAAATATTGCTGGTGGCACAATAAATCATACATCGCTTTACCTGAGTGCCTCTCAATAA